CAATTTTTATAATCTCCATTATAGTTTAATTCAGGATAACGAGTTACGAACATCGAGTTACGAAGATATTGCCCATTATTGTAGAAGGCACGCCCACTTTTGCAAAACCAAATTGTAACTCGATGATAACTGTTAATTAAAGCAAAGACATCAGAAAAATGTCTTTGATTAAAGTTCTAAAGTTACTAAAGCGTAACAATACTGATAATTTTTTCAGCACGTGATCACATTTTTTTTAAAGCTTAAAGCGGGAGGGTCGTCACCTGCGCTCGCGCGGGAATTGAGTCCCAAGCGACGATAACAACATACGCAAAAAACGCAAATCATGCTCATGGGTAGACGCTTGTTTGTAAACAATGACATGCTATGACCATCTGACGCATGCGCAGGTAACGACTCCCCCGCTTTAAGATTACGCTTGATCACGTTTTCTATATCATCTGCGATTTCAAACTAAAGTACAATACAATACCCCTACACGGCTTTTCAACAATGTCGCAGAATATGTATAACCAAAGAGTCATAAAATATGTGCCTTATCATAAAGTTTAGTTGACTGACCTGCCTGAGGTGGATAGAAATATGAGATAAGTAATTTAAACCATATTTACTTGTATTCTTTCTCGTAGATCGTTGCATTGAACGTTGCGTTTGGATCTTCAGCGCCACTGCCGAAATCCACCAATGCGTCCGTCATTCCGCCGAACATGATCATCATGACAGGACGAAGGGCGCCATGGATAGAGGCAAATATAACACCGAGTGTAATCAAAAAATAGTCCTTTACATCGGCAAAACGAAACTGTAAATTAAATTAAATTAAATTAAATTTGAATATTTGTAAAGATTGTCATGGCTTAGCAAAAAGACCTCGTAAAGAGTAATCGTCATCTTACCAGTTTAGCAAAGCTAACCATCTCCACTTGTTCCTTCTTCTCCTTCTTTCCATCTTTCATTTCTGATTCTTTAACATCCCCATTACTGGAACATATTGAGAAAAATCGTACATTACAATTTGTTGAGCGAGTTAATGTTGTTGAAACACAAACAAATTCCATCCCCACATAACAACTCTTATTCACAACCCTTGCAGAGAAACTGATTCACAATTGAATCTGAGCGGAATCCTTGACCAAAAAAGGTAGTTTTACATCTCCTGATATCGTTCGAGTTCTCATTGCGAAATCTCCATTGCGTGAGGTCCATACTCAGTGATTATTCCCATGTGATTAGAACAGGTTATATACAGACGATCGCATCTACCTTTCTGCTTTGGTTGATATCACGTGACCATTTTCAAATTCAACTTCCGGCGTCATTCCATTATTAAAATAAGCGTGGTCTGTAATAGAAGCAAACCATGATTTGCATATTGTGATTTGCATATAGTGCCGTGTATATTATTTTCATAATTTCAAAAAAATGTATGTTTCTACTACATATTAAAGAGGCAATGTGGGTAACTTTGTGTAATTTTTTTTTGAGCATTTGCAAAGAGATTCGGGACTAATTGAAGATTATATGTCACCCCTTTCATGCTTTCATTTCTATGGGTTTTACTTCAAGAAACTAAAAATGAAAAAAAAAAATGACAGCATTCCGAGAAAGAGACTCAAATGTCATTTAAGAACATGGTCAAAAGTAGCACCGGTTTCAAGGTGAAATTATATCTTCATACCTCGACACTTCGCTAGTTAAGATTGATGAAAAAAGTCATATACCGATATAAATCCTAATAATGTTAAAATATTTGTTTTTAAATAACTAATAACTGTGTATATGTACAACAACAACAGGCTTAGAAAGACGAACATGATTTAATTCACCCAAAACTGCGCCTGAAAGAGTGTTCTTCGATCATATTTGATCTTGAAAATTAGGGTATACTAAACTTTGTTTCGGCAACATCAAAGTAGTAATAAAAACTATGATGCGCATGTGCATCTCACTGTTTTATCGAACGACAACTGTTGTGTTTGCAGCCACGATAAATCATACTCCAGTGTGTCTATCAACATACATTATCGATATGTAAACAGGCTCACAACAACTCAAAGTTCGGGCCAAATAGCCTCTCCAATAATCATCTCAAAGGCCATTTGATTGCAACGGTAAAAATGTCCGAGCTTTAAAATTACCATTTGTAACCACGATGAAACATATATATTTTAATCCCAGGCTGGTTAGTGCGTGTTTTTCCCGTGTTCGATATAAATCAGTCACTTTAACAAACCATACCCCTGAAACTCAGACAGTTTGGAGACTGTTTAATATCTACCTCTTTTTTTAGTAAACATTCATTCAAGAATATATCTCATGGCTTTGAAACTGATGTACAGTAATCTTGCAGATTGAACGCCGATGTCGTTATGATCTCTAATTGAACCATAGTCTACATACTACATGTATATCAATAAACGGATCCACAGAGCTGTCCTTCTAAGTGGTGTCATAGGTGAAAACATGCATCTCATCAGACCAATCAGAGAGCCGTCATCTGCGCATACAGCCGTAGCGAGCCATTGTTTACAAGCAAGCGCCTACCCACGAGCCTTTGCGGTTTTACCAAGCGTTGTTTTCGTCCCTAGCCTGACGAGATCGCGTGCGTTGTGCCCTCCGCGGTGATCCAATCCCAACACACGCGTTGGTGATGTCTGATGCCGTTCGGCCGGCGAGGGCCTACTCACGCCAACATGTCAGGAACTCAATTCGCGAGGGAGCGCAGTTGTCGACCCCTCAGCTTAAAATACTACTCTCTGTGTCAATTGATG